CGGTCCAAGCTAGTCTCCCATACGATCCAAGCTAGTCTCTCATACGGTTATACGGTCCAAGCTAGTCTCCCATACGATCCAAGCTAGTCTCTCATACGGTCCAAGCTAGTCTCCAAAGCAAGCTTAAAAATTGTTTCACTTGAGATTCGAACTAAGGATCACTTGGCTTAGCTCAAACGCGTTTCTTCCAACTCCTCTAGCATGGTTCTTGGTGACTTTTCCGCAACATAATTATGTTAAGCTATAATCCCGCTTAACATCGAAAATCAAAATATGATTTTCCAGACTTGTACATGGGTTGCATGATATAGGTGCACCATACTCCGTAGACTCAAACTGACTCAAATAGAATAAAAATTGGGGACTACTTGATTTTTCAAAAATACATTCGGCTCATCAAAATTTACAATATATTCCTAACACGAAGATTCTAGGACTCTTCGAACCAAAGGTCTCTGGTGTTCAGGCCAACGCTATATGCAAGAAGCTGGGCTTTTCAGATTGGATAAGAGTGGAAGCAGTCGGCTTTAGTGGTGGCATTTGGGTCTTCTGGGAGACCCCGATGCAGGTCACGATCACGTACACTCATCCACAGTTCGTTTTACTGCAGGTTTTGGATGAAAATCAGGTTCCCTGGTGGGTAGCCGCGGTCTACGGAAGCCCAACTCACCATCTTAGGCGGCGCCTTTGGCAGGAGCTTAGGCAATCCGCACGAGGCATATCTGGACCCTGGCTGGCAGCCGGGGACTTTAACCCGGTCCTCTCCAAGGATGAAACCAATAACTATTCTTCCTTCTCTTCCCGCAGGAGCTCGGACTTTGCTACCTGGATCCAAGACGAGGGCTTGATTGATTTGGGCTTTTCGGGGCCTAGCTTGACATGGGTGAAGGACGGAAACGTCGACACTGTTAAGGGTGCCCGGCTAGACCGGGCTTTATGCAACTCAGAATGGAGGATCAAGTTTCCCACGGCTACTGTTACTCATCTCGCGAGAATTGCGTCGGATCATGCGCCCATTCTTGTTCGGTTGGAAGGGGATTCCCATCAAAGACAGGAGGCACCGTTTAGGTTCCAGGCGGCTTGGCTTACGCATCCGGAGGTACACGATGTAGTGGACCGGACATGGAACCAGCAAGAGGGGATTATAGAGAACACCAGTAAACTGACCACAGAATTGTCTTGCTGGAATAAACAGGTCTTCGGGAATGTGTTCAAACGGAAGAGAATCCTCGTGTCCCGAATTAACGGCATTCAGAGATGCTTAGCTGCAAATTACCACAGAGGTCTAGTGAAGCTGGAAGCAAAACTACGGGAAGAGCTTGAAACGACTCTCCAGCAAGAAGAACTCTTGTGGTACCAAAAGTCCCGGGAGGACTGGATTACTTCTGGAGACAGAAATACGGCCTATTACCATGCTGCAGCTGCTATCCGCACTGCGCGAGTTCAAGTTCGGACGCTAGTTGATGAAGATGGGGTATGGCTAACGCAGGAGACGGGCCTCCGCAACCACGTAAGGAACTTTTACGTGAGGCTTTTCTCGGAAGGGGATCAAGTGCTGCACCATCAACTCTGTTTAGCAAACTTTCCTCGACTCAGGCAAATAGATTGGGTCGTGTTCAATAGGGAAGTCACGAAAGAAGAAGTCCATAGCGCCCTCAAGGACATGAAGCCGTTCAAGGCCCCGGGACCGGATGGTCTCCAAGCCGGCTTCTATCAGCACACTTGGGATACGACCGGGGATACTGTGTTTAGTTTGGTAAAGCAGGCTTTTTCAACGGGGATTCTGCCAGAAGGAATCAACGACACCCTCATAGCTTTAATTCCAAAAGTCAAGGGGCCGGAGACCATCAAGCAGTTCAGGCCAATAAGCCTATGCAATGTAGCCTACAAGATCATAACCAAGACTATCACAAACAGGCTTAAACTTGTGTTGCCTAAGATTGTGGGGCCGTACCAAAGCTCCTTTGTCCCGGGGCGGCAGATTACTGATAACATTCTTATTTTTCAGGAAGTGATGCACACGATGCGCGGGAAGCAAGGCGGGACAGGGTACATGGCGATCAAATTGGACTTGGAAAAAGCCTACGACCGGCTCTCGTGGCGTTTCATACGCGAGACCCTCGAAAAAGCTGGTTTTACAGGTACCATCAAGGAGCTCATGATGACATGTGTACAGACTGCCAGACTCTCAATTGTGTGCAATGGAGAACGCCTGGAGCCTTTCAGGCTCGAGCGGGGAATCAGACAGGGAGACGCTATGTCACCAGCAATTTTTGTGCTGTGCATGGAGCGTCTTAGTCAGATGATAGTGTCCCAGATGGAAAGGAAGGTCTGGAAAGGCATAAAGCTTGCGAGAGCCGGACCCACCCTAACTCATTTGTGTTTTGCAGATGATATAGTGCTTTTTACAGAGGCCACGGTGGAGCAGGTCAACGTAGTTAGAGAATGCCTTGATAATTTTTGTGCAGCGTCGGGGCAGAAGATCAGCTTAAGCAAATCTCAGGTGTTCTTCTCCAAAAATACGAACACGGCTACAATGGAGAACATAACTAGTAGGCTCCAAATTGGGCAGACCAAGGACTTAGGAAAATACTTGGGCGTGCCGGCTATACACGGCCGGGTGACATGCGCAACACATGCAGAACTTCTTAATCGGATTTCCGGACGGCTGGATGGTTGGAAAGCAAAATCTCTCACTCTCGCAGGGAGGGTCGTGTTAGCAAAGTTAGTGCTCAACGCTATACCAACATACACAATGCAAACGACATATCTTCCCAAAGGGCTGTGCCTGGAGATTGAGAAGCGAACACGCAACTTTATCTGGGGAGGTAGCGGAACAAGTAACAAGACGAACATGGCTAATTGGGAGTTAATGACGACGGGGATAGATGAAGGGGGCCTAGGGCTCAAACGGATGAGTGAACTGAACATATCCTACATGGCTAAGCTAGGTTGGCGCCTTTTAACAGAGGGCGGCAGCTTATGGGCGCAAACGATTAATTCAAAATACAGGAGATCTGAGCAGCTCCACACCTTGAGGCCGGGACGCCGCAATGTGTCCAACGCATGGCGGGGAATTGAAGCTGCTTGGCCGGATATGTTCAAAGGAGTATCGCGCAAAGTGAAAAATGGGAAAACTACTCAATTCTGGATGGATAAGTGGCTGTCGGCGGAACCTCTATATGGACGACTTAGGAAGCCGCTAGCGCTACCTGATCTTTATGCCATGGTGCGTGATTATTGGGACGAGACCAGGGGATGGAGGTGGGATCTACTAGAACACACACTGCCTAGGGAAGCTAAGGAACTACTTGCAGGGCGTGTTCTTACGACAGAAGCAATGGAGGATAAGATGGGATGGAGTTTAGAGCTGAACGGAAAGTTTTCAATCAAATCGATGTATGACTTACTGGTGGGCGCTAATAGCAGCGAAGCTGATGCTTCATGGCGACGTTTGTGGAGGGTCCCAGTTCCAGCGACAGTTTGCATGTTCCTCTGGCTTGTGCGACATAAAAAAGTTTTGACTAATGCAGAGAGAGCTCGGCGGAAACTAACTGCGGACCCGTTTTGCTTTCTTTGTGCAGGTCATGCGGAAGATCTACAACACATTTTCAGGGACTGCCCAGCGGCGAAGGTCATTTGGGATGCCACGCTACCTAGGCGTGTGCGAGTGCACTTGGAAACACTTCAATGGGACCAATGGTTGGAGGAAAATCTCGAGGGCGATGTGCGTCGCGGCTTCGACGATAACTGGGCAACGAAATTTTGTACGAGGATGTGGTGGCTCTGGCGTTGGAGAAACGACGGCGTGTTCAACAGGCAGATCATTGGGGTGGCTCAAAAATTGGACTGGCTCATGAAGCAGGATGTGGAGATCAAGGCAGCTTTTGCTAAGAGGCTCAACCCAGGGACTGGAGTCACAAAGGTGGCGAGTGAGCCTATCGGATGGCAAAAACCAGAGACCGGATGGTGGAAACTAAACATAGACGGAAGTTGCAAGACAAATGGAGTAGCAGGCTGTGGAGGGCTACTACAAGATGATCATGGGAATTGGGGTGGAGGTTTCATGGCAAACATAGGGAGATGTCAGGTGCTTGAGGCGGAGGTGTGGGGAGTCTTTTACGGGATACGCAAAGCTAAAGACCAGGGAATTAATCGTCTCGTGGTGGAGAGTGATTGCATGCAATTGATAACGAAGCTGCGAAGATATAACAGGGACTCCCAAATCGACTGTAACATTCTTTGGCGAGGCTTGCAAGACGCAAAAGATCTTCAGGCAGTGCAGTACGTGCATATTCTCCGTGAAGGGAATAAGGCAGCGGACAACCTAGCGAAGATGGCGACGAGCCTTAGTCTGGGCTACCAAGAGCTTGTGGAGGTCCCTGATGAGATTCAAGAGCTCATTAGCCATGATAATCTAGGAACTACGTTCCTTAGACGGATGTGATTTCTTGGGTATCCCCCTCCTTCTAATCCAAAAAAAAAAAAAAAAAAAAAAATAATAATAATAATAATAATAATAATAATAATAATAATAATAATATAATAATAATAATAATAATAATGAAATTCATATTAATATATATTTATATAATCAAATATACATGTGTATATTTATATATTTAGTTTTTTTTTTTAATATTTAAGCTTTGATATACATTCATAGATATACACACACATTTTATATATATATATATATATATATATATATATATATTATTGAAGATATTATTGTCAATTGATCTATATATAACTTAAAATATAACCTTGAACCAAACAAGCTAATCTTACATTCTCAAAATCACCTTCCAGGAGATAATCTTATTACCTGGGGTAATCCAAGGTTCCGTGAACCAAACGCCCCCTCATTATTTATTATGGGAGCCTAATAGGGAAGACAAATTTGTGGCCATGCTCATCCACGTCAATTTTCTTCATTTATCTTGGTTTGGTTCAATATATGGCAGTACAGTAATTGATCATGCAACTTAACATCAATATTACATCAAAACTAACATCGTCATTTGAAATGTATAAAATTGTGGACATATATCCATTGGAGTATGATAAATTTCCCCGTCTCTCATATCACTTGTACTGATCTTGTTTTATGCATTTCATAAAATTACATAAAATCAATAACACAAAATTTTTGCATTCCAGAGCCAAGAATGGCTGAGGAATCAACTGGTTTTTTTTTGCATCAAAATGCAGGTATTGTTGCTTCTTCTCAATTGAATGGGCCACCAACAGAATTTGGAATTTTAAATAACTTAAAACTAACATATTACTGGCAGCCCAGTAGCACATCTAACAAATAATGCATTAATCCACAACATCCTACCAACCAGACTTTGGTTATCCTACCTCGCGTTAGACTCACTGTGTTGCTATTGAGTCATTTCAGGCTTTGCTTCCTTTGCTGTTTTTAGCTTTCCTTTCTGTGGTGGCTTTTCTCTTTGCCTCTCTCTGAGCTTGCCTTTTCTCTTCCCTGCACAAAGCTCAACAGTTGTAAGAAATACTCTGAACAGAGCCATTCCATTCTCAACTAGACACAGATGATGCTGATTGCAACCTCCATGATCCATATGAAATATGTCATTGATTATAAACAGTTTCGCAGTGATGAGTAGTAGTATATAATCTCTCTCTCTCTCTCTCTCTCTCTCTCTATATATATATATATATATATATATATATATATATATTTAAACATCAATTATAATTAATTTGACTCCACATATATAAAAAGAAGAAATTAGATATAAAATAGACATAGTTTTTACATAAATAATCTTTTCCAAATGAATAAATTTTTTGGTGGAGATTTTCAACAAATATTGCATGTTATTTTATTTACAAATTTTATTTAAATACGTTAGTTATATAATTAAAGTAGTTATTTTAAATTCAAATTCAAATAATAATACAAGTAACAATAAACTTTAAAATCAACATAATAATAACATACGGAGTAATTAAACTTTTAAAAAATATTAAATATTGTACATTGCATAGTTATACTTACATTTTTAATAAAACTAATTCTGAGCTAAAGAACTCAAGTACGTTTTTCTGTTTCCACAACCATTACTTTCTTTTGCTAATTTAGAGGATGTCAAAATTTTAATTGCTAAATTTGTTAAATTAATAATAGTCCGTGCATTGCACGGGACAATTACTAGTTGGCCATTCATTTCATGTCAAAACACATTAATTCATGCATGAAATTAAACCTACCTGGATTTTGTAATTTCCTCTCTAGATGGAGGCTTCACCCTTTCCCTCCTCGTTTTTTTACCCATTTGATTTTCTTCTTTCCTGTTAACAGTTGAACTGGCTTTTAACTTTCCATTTTCTTTTCCATCAAAGTTTTTTGGTGAATGTTTCTGATCATGTCTCTTCCTCTTTTTCGTAGTGTTTTGGCCTTTTACTTTTACATCTTCAGTGGAACTATACTTCATTTTTCCATCACCCTCTTTATCCAAGTGTTGTTTCTCAGTGTCCCCTTTGGCATTCTGCTTGGTGTTGTCAATCAACTCATTACCTTCTGTTTCTTCTGATGCTTCACCGGGTGTCTGAGTTCGCTTGGAATTACTCATTTTCTTCAACTGCACAAGGAAACGAAAGCACAACTTAGTTGAAGAATATTCATACACATTCTACCCGCCTTTTCAGACAGAAATTTCCAAGGAAAAGGTTCTTCTCAAGGATTTGATTATTGTCAAAAACACAATAAATAGATGAGTTCAAGATCTAGAAAGCAGAAAATTGCACTTGGTGCACAAAAGCAGTAATAAAATTACAAGAAAAAGGGCTTTCCATTAGTAACATATAGGATTCAAGTACAAGTAGGAAATGGAAGTGTTGGCACTCAAATATATGGAGTAATATTTTTATTTTTTATTTCTTTTGGAAAAATATGGAGTAATATTTTTCCCTGATCCTAATTTGTGCAAGTATATACTATATAATTTCACAAGGCCCACCTTTGCAACAAAAAACCCATCCATGTTGTTGACATGAGGATAGAATCGGCGTGTCTTCTCTAAAGATGTGTGGAAGCGGTGTTGTCTAAAACGAATAAACCTGGAATATAAAACAAGCTTCATCAGCTACAGAAGTAAACTATTGAGTAAACACACAAGTAGAGAGCAGTTATACCCTGGACGGCCAAAATCAATTCCACATGGGACAAGTTTCACATCTCTCTTCTTCAGAGCATAGTCTATAACTGCTTCATTCTGCAAATCGCAAATTTGTGAAAAATCAGTTAACAGCATAGACTTCATAAGGATTATCTTTTGGCATACACCACATACCTCATCAACCATAATGGAGCATGTTGAATAGACAACATATCCTCCTGATTTTGAATTAGCATCCACCATATCAATTGCAGCAAGGATTAATTCCTGCAGGCATAATAACAAATTAAAATAGTTCTGGAAGGCTAAAATATTAAGATAAAAAGCATATTGCTAATTTTTTTTTCGAGTACTAACTTTGTTACAATATAGTATCTGTTCATAACTACTTTCTCAACCTATTGAAGCACAAAGAATCAATACTGCCGCCACTGGGGATCGAACCCATGACCTCCCATTTGGGAGAACCACTTCATGCCACTAGACCACAAGGTCATTGGCAGCAAAATGCTATTTATATTTGAAATTTTGAATGGATTGAACTGATGAATATACCATACAAGCAAGAAGTTAAATGGTGTTATATTGTCCAAGGTCATTAAGAAGCAGCCATCTCTTTACAAATACTTTCAAACTGGTTTCACGATAACTCCAAGAATAAGCTATTCAATATGAATGTTAGAAGAATATCCTTCTAAAGCACAAATCATAATGCAACCACTTTGGATGCAAAATAACCAACAAAATTCTTGCTTTGTGGATCTTTCTAGGATAACTTCAATCAAAGCATGTATAACATTGCAACTACTACTGATAGAAAATGATCCAAATATACATCTAAATGCCTCGCCATAGAAACAGATCTATACCCACCTTCTGCAAGCGGGCACAATTCTGTATGTCATCAGCAGTTTTAGAAGTCTTCACAGACTCATCCTTAGATATGACCTGCATCATAGATAGAAATTGTCTAGTCAAAGATAAATCGATTCTAGAAAAGAGGAGCCACTACAAGATACATCAACTCTAAACCATACCCCAGTGCCACTGCAAGGAGCATCCAACAACACCCTATCAACTGAGTTTTGACCTAAAACTTTGGGCAGCTGCAATAATTTCACATAGGGAAAAGAAATGGAGTTTAGACTATTGAAAAGGATTACTATCAAGTGCACAGAAGAAGAAATACTAACTACTAAATGCAACACAGCATCTAACATATAAAACACATTATGGAGTATTTATTTGCAAACTTATTTTTGTGATAGGTAAAATTTTATTAAAAGCAAAACAAAATGCATCTAAGCATACAAAAGAGTATCACAGTTACCCTAGGACTAAAACCCATAGTAATTCTTGATACTAGAAAAACGAAGCACATCTTTGAATCTGAATAAACCCTTATAGATTTAGTAGTACACAAGTATACATGGCTTGTGATCAGCTATGAATACTTTCCACGTGCCATGAACAAAACAAAGATCACCTAGTGACCTAGTTCATAAAAATTATGAACCTTTTTAGGAGACTGCAAGATGCAAAAGCTTCACAGGATATCAAATTAACTTGAATGTATGAATTTGCTATATGGAGGCTTTTTTCATTGTGTGGAAGGTGAAGAGAGAGAAAAAAAAAACGTACTAGTACTTCTTTGTTAATTTTAGCATATTCATGACAAGAAGGGAAAGCATTCAGATGACAAATAAAAAATGGAGGAAAAAAATCCTGAACTGTATAAGAGTTCAAAAAATAATTATAGAAAGGCAAGCTTCTGACCTCTCTACCATCATAATTGCAAACAATGGTATTTGTTACTCCCAAGCGCTGTAAATTAGCAGCAAGTGATTTAAGTCTTGACTCCTTCATCTCGTTTGCATAAACAATACCTAGTTATGGAGAGAGGGGGGACCATATGCAAGAAAGCAACAAATATTATTCACAACAATAATGTGCAATTAACAGTCTTGGCATAATGCCAACATAATTTTAAATGAGAAAAGTTAGCAAACAGCAATGCACGGATTTCTGCAAAAGATTTCGAATAAGACATAATCAAGTGCTTGTTTTGAAAATATATTGAAAGCCAGGAAAGCAACAAGACACACACACACACACACACACACACACACACAAAGAGAAGAAGAAGAAGAAGAAGAAGAAGAAGAAGAAGAAGAAGCAATCTCTTGTTTCTTAGATAATCTTGGTATCAGGAGAGAGGAGAAAACATTGCAATTAACTCGAACGATTATGTGCTGTGAAGCGCTTATATTATGATCCATAAGATGAAAAGGAGTAATTCCTCAAAAGAATTGCAAAATACACATCTAGTGGCATAGCACATTCATTAATCAATTAGTCAATACATACCACTGTTTTTCATAAGAGCAGCAACATAAGTAGTTTTGCCACCAGGAGCAGCACTGCAATGCATACAAAATATTAAGTTAGAATCAGATGCAAGAACTGTAAACAAGGAAATGGGTTTATAACTGTGACTGTAAGATTTTAGAAGAAAACCACGAAGTCAATAAATAAAAGGGAGAAGACCACCAGATACTCAGTGTTAACTATTGTCAACTAGTAGGTTTACTATTTTTACATTTTAACTATTAGCATAATTTTTAGAATAGCATAGTCATGACACAGTAAATTAGCCAACAGCCAACAGGTATACAAGTAAAAAAGGAGTTGTTGTTACTTACGCCATGTCTACTATGCGTTCTTTTTCCTGAGGAGCAAGAGCCATCACAGGCAAAAATGAACTTGCACCTTGAAGCTGTTAGTGTGCAATATATTGATGAGGAACAATCAAATTAATAATTGAAAAGAATTAGGCTAAAGTTGACTAAGCATACCATGTAATGACCAGCCATATACTCTGGAGTTGCACCAATTGGTACTTGTGAGTCATATACAACCAATCCAACCTAGAGAGATTTCAAGTAGTGGAAAATCACAAATTTGAAATGTAACAATATGATTAGTCAAATATATTTACAATTATAGAGCAAGTCTCACCTTTGACCATTTGCTTAGTGGATCTAAATTGACCCCCCTGTTCAACAGGACACCAGCCAAATCCCGTCTACGAGTCTAAATTTAACTCAATGATTACACACAATTAGTACATGTACATGTCAAACTAGGAACAGATTACTCAAAAAGTAAAGCTATGAGAGTAAACTCACCTTCAAAGTGTTTGTTCGAAGACACATTGGTCGAGGCTTTTCAAAGGCTTCAATAAGTTCCATAAGTTCAACAACCGGGAACATCTATAATTGAGATTATAAAGAAATAATAAAATTGCATACAAATCCAGCGTCCAAAAGAACCAAAAAAAAAAAAAAAAAAAAAAAAAAAAAAAACACAAAGATAGCAATTTAGAAGTTGGCAAATCACCTCAACTAAAGTTTCAATCATGAAATCATTGTACCCATAGTATGAAGCTAAATCCATCTTAAGTTGGTCAACATAATCCTTGCGTGTGACTCCTTCTTGCCTCAATGACTTGAAATTTGAAAGCAACCTTACGACTGATATTATGATATCCAAATAGAAAAACGAGTAATTAACTTTAGTGCCTAAAAGTAAAAATCAGGTGTGATATTAAGGAATATTAATCATAGAACTCACTCTCTTTTATCCTCCTCTGGAGATTGGAGAGATCAGGAGGCCTCTGTGTTTCTTCTTCAAGTTCCTAAGTGTTACACAAGATAAAAGCCATATTAAGTATTAAGCATCTAAATGTGTACTAAAATACTAAGTAAAAGCGAAATATACCTCACTGGTAGGCAATCTGAATTCATCAGCTTCTTCTCTGATATTGAGCTGCAATTCTGCTTCTCCTTCCTCCTCTACCCTTTCTCTTTCCTTGTCAATAATCCTTGCCTTCTTCTCAATATCAGAAACGTCAGAATCCGAACCTTCATCTGAATCCTCCTCCGCAACATCATCATAACCTTCATCATCATCGCTCCCTCCGAGAATATCATCCGCCATAGCATCATCTCCATCAGAAGAAATATCAGACTCAGATTCACCTCCCAGCTCTTCTGCTTCTTCTTCGGATGTTTCATGCTCGCCTTCGAGCTCTTCATCAGTTATTTCAGCATCATCACTGAGGATATTCTCTTTTTCCGATTTTTCCGACAAGCGAGCTTCGTCCTTCTTCTGCTTCTTCTTCGGGTGAGATTTCTGTAATCCCTTACTCCTTCCCTTGCTAAGCTTCGGAGCAGCCATTGAGAATAGAGCAGAGCAAGAAAAAAGGTTCAATGCCTTCGTGCGGCTTATTAGGGTTTAGGGTTTTTCTTCAGAATCGCAATTTATTTAGGGCGTCCCAGTCAAATGGTTCTTGGGAGAGTTTCTTCAGGGAAAAAAATGGCTAGAGGTTTTTAACTAACTAGTATGCTACCCGTTACCCGTACGTTGCACAACAATTTTTAAAAACAAATAAAAATTTAAAAATAAGTAATTAATACGTAGTATCAAATTATTTAAAGTATTACACATAACGTTTTTATTACATTATTATATTATTATACTAGTAATTCACCCGCGCGATGCACGGAAAAAAATTATGTTATTATAAATATAAATAAAAAATAGAAAAACTAAAATATTTTAAATTATTTAATATAATAATATTTTTGAGCTTTCATTGGTCAAGTATTTATTATTTTTATAGAATACAAAATTACAATTAAAATTAAAATTAAAATTATAATTTTGTATGGTTAATATAATCTCTAATTATGTACATATTCAAATAAATTTATAGAGATAATTTACATAATTACATTGATTTATTCTTAATTGTATTTCATCTATATTATAATTTTCACAATACAAATAATAATTAAAATAATTACATTTGAAAAGCAAATTTCAAATTTTGTATGTGTAAATTTAAACTCTAATTGAACACATTTTTTATATGATTATATAATATATATATATAGCTATTTTGTTTTTCAAAAGTATATTTTTTATATTATTATATAATATATATAGCTATTTTATTTTTTTAATGTTGTGTTTTTTTTGTTTATAATAAAGGATGTTGTGGCATTAATTGTAACATTAATTATTTCCCAAACCATATAGCTTTATTATATAAAGGATTATATGTCATACCCCAAAATAATTATAAATGTAAATAAAATAGTTATAATTCATAATTTTTTTGGAAATAAAAAAGGCAAACAAAAGAAATTAACTACTATAATTTTACAACATTTATAACATTTATAATTATAATTTTACTGCAACGATCATCTACGTCCTTTTAGACTGCTAACCCGTGACAAATAAAAAAAAAATTAATGATTATAATTATAAGGGTTTAGGGATTAGGGTTTATTTATACCATATCATTAATTGTAATTTATTATATTGTATATACATATTGCAATATAAATAAATATATAAATAAATATGTAAACAAATTAAAACATAATTTAATTATCTAATCTAAAAACATAATAAGTGTCAATACAAGTTATGTCCTTGATTTTTGTCCCTTTTTTATATGCTAATAAATATATACATTTTGCTTTAATTGTTGTACATTCATTTGCATTGGACAAAATCACCCTTACACCGTTCTAACACCGTTAATTTTTAATATATCTACCAATCTTACCATACACCTACATCTATCATATCTTTTTCCTATTTTTAATTATCATTTTATTAAAGTTATCATATAACAATTAATTTAATTATAAATTATATTTTAATTAAATATTTATATGAATGTTAAATTATATATGTGTATCATATATATATATATATATATATATATATATATATATATATATATATATATATATATATATATATTATTTGTGTATCCATATCAATATATCATATATGTGAGTCTTAGCTTAGTATTATTTGTAAATTATTATTATATTATATATATATATATATTTTTTTTGTGTTTTGATCACTATATTATTCAAATATATGATAATTCAAAAGTATCATCGCTTTAAGAAATTGCAAAACATAATTTTAATTAATTTTTTAAATTTTATTACTTCCAAATATTTTAATATTGGGCATAAGTTTTCGCGCATCGCGCGTACAAAATGCTAGTATATTATGATAAACTGAAACATTTTATAAATTTTGTATTATTTATAAATTTTATATAATGTTAAACACACATTATTACAAATATATATATTATTTGTGTATCCACATCAATATATCATATATGTGAGTCTTAGCTTAGTATTATTTGTAAATTATTATTATATAAAAATATAATTTTTTTTTTTTTGTTTTGATCGCTATATTATTCAAATATATGTCAAAAGTATCATCGCTTTAAGAAATTGCAAAACATAATTTTAACTAATTTTTTAAATTTTATTACTTCCAAATATTTTAATATTAGGCATAAGTTTTCGGGCATCGCGCGTACAAAATGCTAGTTTTATGATAAACTGAAACATTTTATAAATTTTGTATTATTTATAAATTTTATATAATGTTAAACACACATTATTACAAAATAATTATTTTTATAAATGCAAAAAATATATATAAAATAATAATCTTTAACCTATTTTTTAAAAAAAAATTACAAAATGATAAATGTTAACATCCAACTTATAAAATTTGAGAAACAAATTATCACAATTGTCGTATCGTGCACATTGTACGCCCTAAAAATCTCATGTTTCATATGTACATAATTATATAATAGAATACACATAAACTCCTAACATAATACCCATAATCTAACATAATGTGTGGTTCCACATAAACTCCCATGTTTCATATGTACATAATCTAACATAATACATAATACATATAAACTCTTAACATAATATACATGAACTCTTAACATAATACACATAAACTAATAACATAATACACATAACTCTTAGGGCGCACAATGCATTCTGCGCCCTGGTGCACGATATAATTTGCCAAATTATCAAGCCTCGTATTTAATCAAGGACAAATTATATCGTGCACCGCGATGCATAATCAATTATGCACCGAGCTTCAAAATGACGTCGTTTTGTTTAATGAAAAGAAACGACACCCGTTTCGCGCCGTTCCGCAAAAAAAGTAACTCTGTTATTTAGTTTCATTTTGTATACACTGCAGTTTTAGTTTAACACAACTATAATTTTATTTCGATATAACTACAGTTTCATTCGACATTTATACACTCAAATATGTGAAAATGTTATTTAATTTTATTTTATATACACTATAGTTTCATTAAAACACAACTACATGATCATTTTGATATATCAACAGATTCATTGCACAATATACACTCAAATATGTGAAATGTTATTCAGTTTCATTTTATATACACTGTAGTTTCATTTCACCACAACTACAGTATCATTTTGATATAACTACAGTTTCATTTGATAATATATAAAATAATACGTGAGGCAGTGTCGGTTTAGATACACTGTTGTGTCAGTTTAGATACACTGTAGTTTCAGTTGGTAATTAACACACGAAACAAATGCGCGCTCCGTTAACAGTAACGGCACACCGTTTCTTTACTTAAAGAAACGGCGCTGTTTTGACCGCGATGGACACACACCACGGTCCACGATATAACGACTGTTAATCAAGTCTATTACAATAATATATTTAAATACAGCCCAACAAAAAATCTGGCCCAAACTAGCCCTACCCAATTAACACAAACGGGCCAAACCCAACACCTAACCTATAAATACTAAAATCTACCCATCTGAAAACCATAATCCCCACTCTTCAAGGGATGTATTCAATCATGACTTTTGTAGACTTTTAAAATGATAGATTTTAATAAACTTTTATTGACTTTCATAGAGTTGTTCAAAACTTGTTAAAACTTTGTAAGACTATAAAATTCTATATAAAAAAAACATTCATACACTTTTATCAACTTTTAAATTTTAAAAAGTCTACAAAAGGCATTGAAATTTTAAATTGAATACATTCTTACAAACTCTCAATGATTTCGATTCTTATCATTTATAATTTTCTTAAAAAACATGTTATAATATATCATAAAATTCTTCTTATTATATAGTTCTTCACCCACATAAACATTCTCAATATTATTGTTTTTATCAATAGTATGGTGAGACTTATATGCTAATTACTTATATATATAGTATTAATAAGCATCAACATCATAACTTGAACTAAATAATGATCTCTCTCTAGGTTCTATCTAGAGCTTATTTCTCTCTCCCCTCCTTAAACATTAGGGTTGCGTTTTCCTCTTGCATGCTTATACTCTCTCTCTCTCTCGCTTTCCCTATCGATCCTTCCACGAATACACAAAGTAACATGGATGCTTCAGCGCTAGCTAAACAATATGCACAGTGCTCCATCGATGACGACGACATCGGCATATCTTTATCATACCCAAACTCGGTGTAACACCCCGTGTTACGGTCTTCAAATCAGAATTAATTATGGAATTAATTTCAATAGTTAAAAATAATTTAAGTTGGTTAGAATTCCCTTGATTAATTAATGTGGTCCACAACGGACCATGGACCCTTATCTCTAATTAAGTCTTTAATCCTGTTAGGAATAAATAAAGTAGACCTTTTACTATTCAGATTCTAATTAGGAATCCTAGACCTATATATCTGTTAGGAATAAAGAAAGAGGGCACATTATTAATCAGATTCTAATTAGGAATCCAAAACCTCTTACCCAGTTAGATTCATATTAGCGATCCTAACCTATATAAAGGGGGGATTAGAAGGCATTAGAACACTATCTGTAACACCCCCTAATTTCCATGTTAGTTAAAGCCTTAAACATGCAGATATCTAAACAAAACATCAAACACAGCGGAAGACTGAAAAGGATTATATAAACTGGAAACGAAAGGGTGTTATGCCACGCTCACCCAGAGGTGAACGCACAGGCTAACATCTGCATAAACCACAATCTAAAATCCATACATGTCCAAAGTACTAAAGTCTATCCTTGGCACACAGGCCATAACAACAAAACATGGGAGCTACACTAGCAGGTTCTAGACCGCGCTCACGTCTATACATCACCTGAAAGAAACACATAAAAGATGGGACGACACCCGGTCAGCGAATAATGCTGGTAACCCACCAATACATGTGAAATATCATATATAGATAAGATATATATACAAAATCATTTGCGAAACGGAATATGTATATATATATATAAGTTTAAAACCAAGAACAGAAGTCAACACAAGACTCTAAGCACTCACAATAAGATAAGGGAACACATCCCAAGATCACACGAGGTACAACAACTCACAAGAACAGCTCAAGGTATAATCTACCATCACACAGTAGATTAACACCCGACATGCATAACACAAGAGAATAATGACACAAC